AATCGTCAGAAAAACACTAATCGATTACTTTTTGGCACTTGACGATTAGTACGATTAATGCCACCAGGCTGAGTCTGCTCACTGCTCCTCTCTGCTTCAAATATGATGCACATTAAAAAAGTTCTGTAATTTATTTTTCTTTCAACACAAAAATTTGATGTATAGCCTGAATTCTGTAATTTTGACACAAATTGGAACAGATTTTTACAAAGAGCAAATCTTTCCCACTAAATTGGTCATGTGACCAGGACATAAGGGCGTCCAGGGACTCCAGGGGATTAATCGTCAAATTAATCGTTATCGGCTAAACACCACAATTAATCGTGATTAGATTTTTTTTTGCCAATATTGCCCAACCCTAGTTAGCACCAACACCTCACAGAAAGAAGGTCCTGGGTTCGATCCCCAGTTCGGACCTGGGGTCTTTCTGTGTGGAGTTTGCATGTTCTCCTCATGCTTGTGTGGGTTTTCTCTGGGTACTCCGGTTTCCCCCACTCCCAAAAACATGTACAATAGGTTACCTTCAGGCCCAGGCCTCCCTTGAAAAAGAGAGGTCCGATCTCAACGGGACTTGCCTGTTTAAATAAATAAATAAATAAATAAATAAATAAATAAATAAATAAATAAATAAATAAATAAATAAATAAATAAATAAATAAATAAATGTCTATACCTTTTGAAGCTAAATATTTAAATGAATAATTATTCTATTTTCAAGCATGAAATATGATCTGAATTTTTACCTCATCCGTTTTACTGACGCGAGTTGCTGTAGAAGCTTTTTTCTAGGAAATGAGTGTAATGTTGTCATGTGACCACTAGATGGTGCTTGTCTATGTTGTGGCCAGTGGGTCAAAATAGAAAAACTAAATAAGTAAAAAGAAATATCATAGTGCATAGAGGCAAAATGCAATGTCCTTGTACAAGGTCGTAGGTTCTCGCTGCAGAAGTTTATGAAAAAAAGTTGCAAACTGACCGGGACTAGAGTTTGTGAAAGCATACAACAACAGCTACTGAAGCTGTTACATCGCTTCCCACCTCCTCTATCCATGACGGCACAATTTATACTGTCTGTGTCTTCCTCTGCCTTCATAAAATATTTGTGGTCGCTCGTGTGCTGTTTACGAAGTTTATGAAATTTATGTAGTGTAAAAACCATTTTAAAAAGCCTTGGCGCACCCAAGGCTCAGCACAGTGCCCTGCAGGTGCCCTGAGGCATTGCCAGCTGAAAGAAGGCATCAGAAACCAAAGAGGCTCCTTTAGCTAAATGTCTGTTCATTGGGCTCTCGTGCTGCAGAGGTTAAAGGCCACGAGCCAGGAAAATAAGTGACACCACTGAGTTTACTCCTCCCTGTGCTAAGGAGTAGAAAAGAGGGAGACACAAAAAAACAAAACAAAAAAAAAACAAGCAAGCAAATTATCAACATCATTTTAATTTATCACACAATTAATTATATGTATGTGTGTATATTTATACTTCTGTCTCATTGTGTCTCGTCTCACACAGCAAAACATTTGAAGATATTAAACTGGAGTAATATGACGTAGAAAGATCTTGGAGGCTTCCGACTTGGTGTTTCCTAGACACGAGTTCCCTCACTGCTAAGTAAAATATTTAACAAAGCTCGCAGGGAGACTCTTTCTGAAAAGGTTTATCCTCAAACCGGAGCATCAAACAGGAAACTGCAGGCATTATGACAGGAGAGAGCAGCTTGTGCAGCTCCTCCAGAGAGTTAGGGATATGACAGATTAATAAAAAAAAGAAAAACTTCAGGACTGCTTTAAGAAAATACAAATCCTTTTCCAGCAGTGTCCTCACTTTAAAATTCTACCACACCGCATGTTAACCAACAAAAACAAATGAATACTGTCTGTTTTACAGTTGGAGAATATTGTGGCAGAAAAATGGAGGGGGGAACCCTCACCTGAAGAAGATGGGGGGAGGAACTATATCAACACGCTGATCCTGAATGTGCCTGCCTTCAGCTTTCCTGGGACCTCGTAGATAATTCAACAGCTTACTCACTGGTGGAAGGAAAAAGTGGAAGAGGATGGAGGGGATAAAGATAGCCCGGACCATCCGGGTGAAATTCACTCTACCCAGCAACCAGAAGATTCCTCTGAGAACGCTGAGCCTGAGAGTTTGAGCAGTGTCGGTGTGTCTGCTGTTGTTGGTCATTTTAAAAAGGGCCAACCATTCAGCTCAGCCTAAACAGTTTTAATTCAAGTGTGAAACCAGCAGTAACTTGGTGATTTATTCTGTGCTAAACAGAAAAGGTTACTACCAACACAGCCCAGCTAAAGTTCCTACACATTTTTTTTTATTTTAAAGTTCCAGTTCTCATCTTAAACTCCTGCTGGCAGATTTATTGCCACTGCCTGAATAGAGCTCCATAAAATCCTTTTCAGTTTTTCCCAAATTCCACTTTTTCTGTTGATCAGTTTAGTCTAACTACCTTATTTATTCATGTACAATACAATCTCATATATAATACGACTGCCCTATTTTTAGCCTAAAAAGCATAAAAATTTAATGCTCATACGACCTCTAATTTCATATGGACTTCAGAATTTTTCAGCCTTTGCAGTTTTTATATATATATAT